ATCGAGCTGCACAGGGTAATTGTTGAGGTTTTGGACATAAACGATCACGCTCCCGTCTTTCCGAATAATGACAAAGCTCTCATATTTGAAGTAAATGAAGCTGCTGTAGTAGGAGTGCGCTTTCCCCTGCAGAGTGCGGAGGATCAAGATGTGGGTCAAAATGCGTTGCAAAATTATATTTTGTCAGCAAACGACAATTTTATCCTAAATCAGCATGCAAATCCAGACGGCAGTAAATATGTTGAAATGGTGCTGCAGAAGCCTTTAGACAGAGAGCGACGGCCCCGTTTGTCTTTAAAATTAATTGCAGTTGATGGAGGAACACCACAAAGATCGGGTACCGTAAATATAGAAATAAACGTCTTAGATGCAAATGACAATGAACCTGTATTTAACCAGTCGGTGTATAAGGCTACTGTTCTGGAAAACACAATAAAGGGGAAGAGTATAATAACTGTAAATGCGACAGACGCTGACAGTGGTTCATATGGACTCATGACTTACAGTTTGTCAAAAATGAAAGGAAGTGCTGCCAATATATTTCATATTGATGAAAACACTGGCACAATTTATGTATCTGGTGAAATAGACTTCGAAAAGGACAGAAAGTATGAAGTGAGGGTGGAGGCAAAGGATCAAGGTGGGCTGATTGGAACCAGTAAAGTTATAATTGATGTTATTGACGTAAATGACAATGCTCCAGTTATTAATATAAAGTCATTTTCCAGCTATCTGTCTGAGGATTCCCCTCCTGGTACAACAGTTGCAGTTCTGAACATAAAAGATGTTGATTCTGAGAGAAATGGACAAATAAAATGTTCGTTAGACCGAAAACTTCCTTTTAAAATTGAGCCATCTCTTACAAATTATTATAATTTGATTTCAGATCAATATTTTGATAGAGAATCAGTTTCAGAATATAACATCACAATTACAGCCACCGATCTCGGAGCACCTCCTCTTTCTAGTTCAACCAAGTTACATCTCAGAATATCAGATGTGAATGACAATGCACCGCTATTCAATAAAAATATTTACTCTGCTTATGTCGCAGAGAACAATTCGCCTGGCACTTCCATATTTGCTGTCACTGCGCGAGATGCTGATTGGAATCAAAACGCGAGAATCTCTTACCTTTTGGAAGATACACAGATAACTGGCAGTCCAATTTCGACTTTTGTTACTTTGAATTCTGAAAGTGGTGTCCTCAGTGCCATTCGATCATTCGATTATGAGCAAATTAAACAACTG